CATCCAACGAGTAAGTACACTGATCACTCCAGTCCCCCTTTTTTGGCTCGTGGGCTTATGGCCGCGGCGAAAAGGCAGAGCAAATTGCCTGGAATCTATGTTAGTTTAATAATACTCATTTTGTGTTCCTGAACAAACTTTTTTTTCGTAGTTCGACTCTACGATATCAACACGTTTCAATGCTTCGTCTCAGCAAATCCTAGGGAGTTCCACACAGCACCCGTTACCATGGTAACTTTACGTCATTAACCTATGATCACATTGCGCARGTGCTAACTGTAATATTTTCTCATAGGTCAAGTATGCCCCTACAGGGAATCTTTATGCATCGTCAAGTGTGGATGGATCCATTAAGGTATATACTGATGTAATTCTACATGTAAGTTACGTTTCGCGCGGAATTGTGTTACTTGAGGTGCGTTACACACTTGTTTGTGTCYCTTAAYTTGCGTTACACACTGGARTGTGTGACTGGAAGGTGTGTTACATACTTAAATGAGTAAGGTGCGTCGCACGCTTCATTGTGTGTCTTCATTTGCGTTACAGAATGAATTGCGTGACATTCATAACGCAAGGTTTTGTTTGATTTGATTGTCTTTATTTGGCAGGTTTGGGATGGAGTTAGCAATAAATGTGTTGCAACGTTCCCTCAGGCCCACAAGGGCGCAGAGGTTAGTGAAGATCAGATTCGTTTCTATTTGTCCTGTTTATTTTGATATGATTTTAATAAAATGATTTGCATTGTATTTCAGGTCTACACAGTTCAATTCTCACACAACTCTAAAGTACGTATCGTGTATGAATTTACGTAAGATCCCCACGTAAYTCATACTTTGATAGTTTTGGTAATCCTGTGTATTCTATTTCTTAGTATCTCATATCGTGTGGCAAGGATAATATTGTGTTTCTATGGGAACTATCGACAGGTAAAACTACTTGCGTCGAATGATTAATCAAGCATGCATGCTTGCAACCAAATCGAACGAKTGATCAAACGAATAAATGATCGAARTAAACAGAGAAATATTGCATTATATTATCTCGACAGGACGAGCTGTAAATATGTACACAGGMGCAGCGATGTCAAACTATCGAACTCAAGCTGTATTCAACCATACCGAGGATTTCAGTAAGCGTTTCATTTGAAATCTTGTGCGTRTTACAAGATTTTTACCTTTGGTGGTTTTGATTTTCCTCTAGTTCTTGTTGCCGACGAGAAAAATAARAGTATATCATGCTGGAACACAAGAACCACAGAAAAACAGAAGTCGCTTATTTCAGGTGAACTGGATTCCATCTTTGTCTTTTCCATGTATTTGCTAATTCATCCCTTTCCTGTTWCGGTCCTTCATTCCTATTTTCTCATTTACATCCATTTTCGTTTTTTTTCTGTTGATGTCTTTTTTTTCACTCTCCTTTCTTTCTTATCTCTAGCATTCTGCCCTTTCACTTCCCATGCTTTCCATTCCCATCCTCCCCCCCCCCCATTTACATATTCCTTCTCCATTCTCTTTGTTCCACTTAATCCATTGACTTCTCTTTTAGTTCTTCTTTCATTTCCCTCTCATCAATCCATTTCCCTTCTTTTCTCTTGTCCTAACCCTGTACCGTCGTTACTATTCAGGTCATAACAATCATATCCGCCATCTGGTCCATTCTCCCGCCGGGGCTGCGTTCATTTCGTGTAGCGATGATTTCCGCGCAAGATTCTGGTATTGTGAGGGTGTGTAGCATGATAGAGGCCTGGTATTTTTAGAATATTATGGGCTGTATGCTTTAACATATCACGTGACCCCATATCTCCAAAATATAGCAGATACAGACTCTTACAGCATMTGAGAAAAAGTAACTTAAATATTTTCAAGTCGACGTTTTAACTTCAAAGATGTAATAGAAGATATCTTTTTGCAATTTTCTACGTTTGTCTGTCTGTCTGACACAGGAAGTCCGAAACCAATTTGCAAAGGATTTGCATTCTTTCTTGGGAGTACTCACATCTCATGGAAACCATAAATTGCACTTGGTAGCTCAGTTAATCTTTTGTAATGTGTCTGCTATTGAGTTTCTTGTTGTATTTCATGGTYGGTTTAGTAGAACCCCCTTAATTTTGGGGAGGTAGGGTCACGTGACCTTTAGGAGATATGAATAATTCCCCCTTACAGTATTTATAAGTCATGCCCCACGTACAGTTGGTACATTTGTTTTGTGGTCAATCACTAGTTGAGAGTTCAAAATTGAGTGTGACATGATCGAGAAATCTCAATAAATTACTTTGTAAAAGTAAATTGATATTTGAATAAACGCTTTTTTTTGCGATTGAAAGTAGCACTCAGGTTTCCTTTGAAGAAATTTTATTGCCGCGAGAAATGCTGGTGCATCAAAGATATTGCACAGTCGAGTCACCCCAAGGATCTCTATGTACGTGACTTGTGGGGGTACTTATAAATATAGCCATCCCGCCCCTGCTTTGATTGACATCTCTTCATGTGGGTCACGATCTGACAACGTTTGTTCAAACTGTTTGATTCAAACACAGTCTGAGATCCTGTCAAACTGTATAAGAGGTATGTAAAATAACCTCATCCACGGACGACGCTCACATTCTGGTCAGTCTTGCATAAACGAAGGNGGTTATAGTATGTTTCTGGTTATTTCAAAAACAAATATCTAGACCTTAAATTTATCGAAAACTCGGCGATATCAGTTTAATGGAATCTTTTGTCAGACTTGATAGCCGCCAGGACCTGATATTTACACTACGATACGATGCGATGGGATCAGGCAAAAAGTATATCCCTGTATCACACTGGACAGTGTTAATTGTAATGATAACAAAAGATTGRACATTGCCACAGGACCACTTTCGTCACCATGGAAACTCATTGACAATTTGTATTGAAGCGTAAGAAATTATTGCTGTTTCAAGTTTTTAGAAAAATGTATCGGTCAATTGAAAACCCTCCCGTACCCCTGGGGAGGGCCGGCGAATTCAAACATTACAGCCTGGGATATAACACTGTTTTAACGGCATCAATCCACTGGGAGGCGGSGAGATTAACGTSTAAAWCAAAGGAGGTGATCTGTTTAACCGCCTTTTTCTGTCCCTTTATCACGTTTATGTAGTCTTGGTATGAAAACATTGATAATATTGCCGCGAGAATGACGGTGCATCAAAGATATTTCACAGTCGAGTCACCCCAAGGATCTCTATGTACGTGACTTGTGTGGGGGTAATATAAATATAGCCATCCCGCCCCTGCTTTGATGATTTGATTGACGTCTCTTCATGTGGGTCACGGTCTGACAATGTTTGTTCAAACTGTTTGATTCAAACACAGTCAGATCCTGTCAAATTGTCTAAGAGGTATGTAAAATAACCTCATCCACGGACAACGCTCWCATTCTGGRCAGTCTTGCATAAACGAAGGTTCAGAAAGTTTTGATGATGAGCTCCAAACCTCAAGATCGGCCTACTTTTAAAGTAGCGCACTGGTTTCGCTGCAAAGGACTTTGCGGACGCCAAACCTTTCTTGACTTTCAAGAAAAATTCACCGAGATCGTCAATACTMTGGAGAAAACTTCAGATGATGAATCTCAGTTWTGGGAATACGTTCGCAGCCTCTTTGACTACGATGACTACGCCGACTGCGTTCCAATTAATGCTGCCAACTTGTCGATCCTTTTTTCTCCAGTGCAGACACTAATGAACAGCCTCGCCTTGAACTGGAACCAAGATATCTCCATCCAGAAAAGAGAAGATCCCTTTGTCCACACGATTCAAATCGCACGAGAATTGGTAGCCAAAGAGCTGAACGTAGAAGGAAGCTTGGTTGCATTTCAGAGGAATGGTTCTGACCCAAACGCAGCGATAAGCTTTGGTCTGACGTTCAAAAAAGAGGAAGAAGTCGTAGTTTGGAATGAGAACCATCCAACTAATGGTGAAGTGGCTTGGAAGATTAGAAAGGACKGATTTCCCCATATCCACATCGTGGTCGTCGATCTGAAGGGCGAGGTTGACAGRGATAAAATTATCGCAAAGTTTGTGYATGCTGTAAATGAAAAAACCAGGATCGTGGCATTCAGTGAAGTGAGTAAAATTGTACTTTTTAGTATTTGTTGAATTCTCTCGTTGCCCTTCTCGTTTCATAGTTGTTTGTTTAGCTTAGTTTGTGGGTGTTGGCTCGATGTTTGAATTTATTTTTATCACTTTCCACTTTTATTTGTCGGTGGATAAGATCAACCGAGAATTAACTCACTGTACATAGACTGTCGATGCACTTTTACTGACAGACGTCTCTTAAGAAAAATTAACGAAAAAAAAAAAACGATAACTAGTTAGCACACAAACAGTGCGCAATCGAAGTGCTATCGAATGACACGATTTCTATGTTGCATTCTCAGCGGGATAAATATCTTGTCTCTAATCGTACGCCCCTCAATCAGTTGTGAACTATTAAGCCATTATTTCCTACAGATATCGTGCTYATTTCTATGATGCATTTTCAGCAGGATCAAAAAGATCTTGTTTCTAATCTAMCGCCCCTCATTGTTGTCAACTATAAAGCATAGAGATATCATGTGCCATTTTTGTTTCTAGGTTTCTCACTTAAGTGGAACTCGTCTTCCCGCCAAAGAACTGATTGCTGCCATTCATGCCAAGAATCCAAACGTCCATGCACATCTGGACGGAGCTCAAAGCTGGGGCGCCTTTGCACACGACTTGGTGGACATAAATTGCGATAGCTACAGTGGTGGGAGTCACAAGTGGTTCTTGGGCCCAAAAGAAACAGGTATTCTCTACATGAAGAAAGATCGCATCCCTGACTTTGCTCCTAAAGATATCGGCTATAATGGCAAGATGCAGCCTCCACCTACCTTACCTGACGAGCCGCTCCCAGACGATGCTTCCAGGTTTGAAATGGTTGGCCAGAGAAATGACACCAACCTCATTGGTCTGCTCTACACAGCTGATATTATGGCTCTCATTGGCTTTGAAAAGATTGGCAACAGGATTAAGGCGCTGACGACCCGCCTTCGAGCGAACTTGGAAAAACTACTGGAAGAGCTTGGGAAAGACGTCTTTAAGATCGAAACGCCAACAGACTTGTCCATGTACCATGGAATTTTGGTCATCAAGTTTCCAGATGAAGAGCCAAGTGGAAAGAAACGCAAACGAAAACAAAGAAGATGTCGTGCTAGCGAGGAAGACGCCCCTCCACTCAGCGTCCAGCTGTATGACCTCCTCTATGAGAACCACAAGATCGGGGTCTCTACCAAGAAAGGCAACAGAATGCGCTTCTCACCGCATATCTACAACACCGAGGAGCACATGGATAGGGTAGTGGAAGCCATGAAATACGAGCTCAAACAAATCCTTTAGTACCYTAAGAAAAATAGTCATAAGCTATAATAAGAATATGGCTGACAGGTTTTTAAGAAGCACTTAAGAGATAATGCACATWGCAAATGATTATGATTAATGACCAKCACTGTAACACTTAGCTGTAGTCTGATATCCAAATAAAGTTCTTGATTAATTCTCGTTTGCAGTATTACTAAATTGACGGGTTTAGTGCTATTAGTTCACGGATCAGTGGTTTTAGTTCACGGGTTAAATGTATTCAATATATTCAACTGAAACACACGCCGGGATTATGACGAAACACAATCAACTTTTGGAAATGTTTATTGAGTTAGTAAATAGGTCGAATTTGTTCCCAGTGAATCGTTGTATTAAATAGAAGTACAAAAATAGTTAATAAAAGAATAGCAATAAAAACGTTTCAAATCCTTTTTTGGTTACCCTGTGTACAAGCGAATGTCTTCAATCATTTTGTAATCACAGGTGACTAAGGATATCAAACGTTTTGAACTCTTAAGCGTACAACTAGGCGTATGTTAGCCTTTATACATCCGTTCCCACCCCTCCTCCCCTACGGGGAAAATTCGGACCCTTAGGGGGAGGGGGTGGGAATGGATGTACACAGGCTAGGCGTATGTTTGTCCACATGCCTTGTGCGATTCTATTTTAGTGTAAATATAACTAAATGAAGTAACAAAAATAAATTATGAAATGAATGCACGACAGCCTTCAAAAAGGTCAGTCGTCGYCCATAACAATACCTGCGGTCATTACGTAGCTGTTGAACATAATGCTTTGCAATCATCAACCATGATACATTGCGGCCGTCAACCATGATGCATCGCAGCCGTTAATCATGATGCATCTTAGTCGGCAACCATGATACATTGCGACCCTCGACCATAATGCATTGCAGCCGTCAACCATGATGCACTGCAATCATTAACCATGATACATTGCGGCCCTCGACCATAATGCATTGCAGCCGACAACTATGATGCATTGCAACTATGATTTAGCGCGTAATGTGGGGGACGTCTTTTTTTCCGACGTCACAGCAAAGGAAAGATGTGCTTGTATACCAGTACATCTATATTACTCAACACGTACATAAAAATGTCTAATATATTCAAAGATTGCATTCAAGTAAATTTGAATGTAATGTGGATTTGGTTTAAAATAAATTACGACGCAATTGCTCTTTTCCGTTTGAGCCAATCAGTGATTCAGTCTTTAACAAAACCCTCGATATACGAAGGTGGAGGTATAAAACAAGTTTCTATATAAGTTTATGTAAATAATTTGCCTGCATAAAGTGCGCTCATTACATCCGTGAAACAGTCAAGTCAAAGAACCGTGAAATAGGTATTCGACTAATACACCTTAGTATACTCTAATTGCATTGCTTTCTTTTGTGTCTATTTGTGACTATTACACTTTTATAGGCAAAGTTTTTGTTTCACGGGTCTAACGACCTAAACTCTAGTTAGAAATTGCATAAACTAAAGCAATTTTGTGAGCAAACTATTTCATGGATATAGTGATATTTCTCAATGCAGTATTTTTTTTCTCATCAGTCAGCGGTTCCGTTCGTAAGTTTTTCTTTGGGTACCGCGTTTTCTTTTTGTAACTGTTCTGACGTTTTTTCACTTTCTTCTCGAGAATTCTTCTTTTTTAGTTCCTTTTCCATGGTGTGACCCATGTCGACGTAGTAGTTGAGAGCTTTACGCACAGGTGAGATAAGTTGATCCTAAAGAGAAAGAAAGAAAGAAAGAACTAATCAACGGCCATTCGTTACAGTGTACAGCGACGCCATTTTGTACAACAAGGCACGATGGAACTTAGTCCTTGCAAGTGTTTCCTTTACAGAAACGGGAAAATTACTTGTAAAGAAAACGTTGATGAAGATAGATATTGCAGAGTATTTTGACGGACATATAGAAGCGCGAGGATTAAATCTACTACCATTTTTTGCGCAAAAAATTGGCGTCTTTGCTGCCGTTCAATAACCGTTCAATCATCAGCACACTTGGAAGTGTCAACAGCGAGTCTTATTTCTAATTCATACCTCAAGAATCGGAAACAGTCTTCCCAGGGCTTCAAACAAAGGTATCAAGACAAACTTGATGAAACCAATCTGTGCAGAGGGCTTGGTTACTTTGTCACGATCCATGAATGGCGCCACAGGTAGTCCTTCCATTTTCTCTACGTCACTCTGAAATGAAATGAAGAAATAGATGAATGAAAAAATAGATGACGATGCTGGTGTCCAGCGAAAGCTTGAGCGAAATTAAAACAACTACCACAGTAGCGTATGGTCTATTTCTCAGTGCTCAGAAAAAGTAGATAAATGGATGAATGAGACAAGACTTACTTGTATAAAAAACTCTTGCAGTAAACAGTCCAGCCATGGTTCAGCGACGTCCATAGGGCGAGCCTCGTTAGAAACGTCCGACACTTTGATCATTATTTGCATCAGCTGAATTTACATAAAATCAAGATCAGACCTGGATTCTTTGTAGACGCAATSAGAAGCGCAATCTTACGGGCCAAAGTTGATCTAGGTCGTGTGCTTGCGGCTGTTGTTACATTTTAACGTTGGCTTACATTATATTTGATTTACCATTGCATAAGTGATTGCGTCACAACGTAAGTAAGACTTATTCGGAAGCACATCGAACGCGTAATAAACGCAAGCGTAAACACTACTTACCATCGATTTATGTTCTTCGTTTGTAAAATCAAAACTCGACTTCAGTTGCTCTTTAAATTTGTTTAAAATGTCAGAATGTCTTCCCATGTCAGTTGCAAGAATACACCTACAAAGAAAATAGTTTGATGAATAACAGATAATAAAAAAAAGAAAAAATAGAACGATCGATCAGTAAATAGAACGATCGATCAGTTAATAGAACGATCGATCAGTTAATTAGTGAATAGGTTTGATGAATCAGTCATGTGCTTACTTGATCATTCCTTCTCGAACTTTTTTGAACATATCTGGAGGGACATTCTTGAGAATGTTGGATTTTTTCTGTCGGAAAATAAAATTACACTGAGGACATACAGAAACAGAAGATAGTGCCTTGGATAGACTCTTGAATGGGACAATACTATGACGTAATGATCAACGTTCACTATCAAAGATTTTCGTATAATATCATCGTAAATCCATGCGACTTTAAACACCCTACCTGGGACATAATGTCGAACGCTACAGCACAATGATGATTTTCTAATGGTGAAATATCATTGTATCGCAGTGCTAGCTCGGTACGCGCATTTATCTGAGGAGAATAATATCAAACAAATGAAATCATAGTTAGTAGTCCCCACWTTAGCAATGTTTAAATGCACTATTGCATTATGACGTCATATCCCTATTTTTTGTCCTATGCAYCAGTTTGTTTACTCAACCGGGTGACGGTACAGATCATGACCTCATTGTSATTTTATGGCCCTCTGACATCATAACTTTAAGGTGATGTGACGTCATAAGGAAAGAAGGCAATTAACCAGTAGATGCATTGTAGAATGAAGGTTTTCTTTACCTGATAYGCATTGTTATAGCCGGGATGATCAAGATCATGACATAACGCTGAGGTTAACATGATTAGCACCTCATGWGGCTCAATTTTTGATGTTATTTCGGTCATCCATATTAAACCATACATCTAGGGGACACAAGACAAATAATATGTGAAAGACTGATTGGACGAAGGGATGGATGAACTAATAAATGAAAGTGATGGGAATACATGCAACTCTAGCCTTACGGACACCCCGATACAACAGACACCTGGATATTGCGGACAGTAAAATACTGAATCCCGGGCGAAAAATACAAAGAAATGATTGAAAGTAACTCCCGTTATTACGGACCCTCGCTACTGTGGACACTAAATTATGGTCCCGAGGGTGTCCGTAATAGCGAGAGTTGACGGGATGCGTGCATGCATGACAGTTAATAAATATATCCTTTTTAACTCGTAATGACTTACCATTTGGGTAACACAGAATGCGTGTCTAAAATTATGGAACGGCGTTGGATTATAATGTCTGTAAACTTCATATAAGAATTGTTGGAGTGTTGCCCTCTGTGAATACAAGGTAAAATATCAGATGGATTCCCTGTGTGCATAGGAATCCCAATACGCAACTTGTGCACGCGCGCACAAAAAAGGCGGGAAAATTCTTCAACAAGATGGCGGCGCCCATGGGTTTGGCAAGGAGCGGATATAAGTTAGAGAAAAAAGGTATTTGATGCATGTAACTCATTTAGTATAATTAATAATGATACTTGAAAAAAAAACAAGATCTTTCGGAGMTCGCTTTTGCAAATAAGTTTAAAAGATTTCCTGAATTTTGAAAAYTTAATAAAACTTTCTTTCACCCCGACTAACCTCTATCCTAAACGCATTTAGAAGGCCTAGATCAATGTACATTTGCTGTAAAAGGTATAACATTTCTTCTTCGTCCCATTGCCTGCAGAATAATAACAAAAGTTGAATAATATTTGAAGTGTCATGAATATATTAAGTAAGTTAAGTTTAGTATTGATCAACTGAAGCATATAAAAATATT